ACCTTTCATTAGTTTAGTCTCCCTCCTCTGGACACCTTCCAGCTTGTCCATTTTAAACTGTGGTACCTAGAATTGGATACAGTATTCCAGGTGAGATCTAACAAAAGCAGAATACAAAGGCACTGTGATTTCCCCTGATTCTAGACACTATACTCCTTTTGATGCAGGCCAAAATCCCATTGGCTTTTTTAGTTGCTGCATCACATGGTTGGCTGATGTTCCACTTGTTGTCCACGAAGATTCCAAGATCTTTTTCACATGGACTGTTATTGAATGAGGCATCACCCATCCTGTACCTATACATTTTAATTTTTTTACTAAGTGTAGTATCTTATTTTTGTTCTTGTACAAGCCATAGAGTTTTAGGAGTATAGATCAGGCCTGGGGAAACTTGGGTCCTCCCAAGTATTTTGGACTCCAACTCCCACAATTCCTAACAGCCTATTGGCTGGCTTGCTATGAGTTTTCCAGGGTGTATGGCCATGTTCCAGAAGCATTCACTCCTGATGTTTTGCCTGCATTTATGTATCTGTGGAATGTCCACGGTGGGAGAAAGAACTCTTGTCTGTTTGAGGCAGGTGTGAATGTTGCAATTGGTCACCTTGATTAGCATTTAATGGCCTTGCAACTTCAAGGTCTGGCTGCTTACTGCCTGGAGGAATCCTTTGTTGGGAGGTGATTAGCTTCAAGAACACGCCACGAGAACAAAGACAAAGATCCATTCAGAGAAAAAGTGTTCTTACCATACATCAAGGGAACCACTGGTTAACATAGGGAAGCTGATGAAGAAACACAATATACAAACTATCTACAGACCCATTAATAATAATAGTAGTAGTAATAATAATAATAAGGTAAAGGTTTTCCCCTGACATTAAGTCCAGTCATGGCCGACTCTGGGGATTGGTGCTCATCTCCATTTCTAAGCCAAAGAGCCGACGCTGCCTGTAGACACTTCCAAGGTCATGTGGCTGGCATGACTGCATGGAGCGCCGTTACCGTCCCGCTGGAGTGGTACCTATTGATCTATCACATTTACAATATAATAATAATAATAATAATAATAATAATAATAATAACTTAATTTTTGTATCCCACCACCATCTCCCCGAAGGAATTCGGGACAGCTTATATGGGGACTGAGCCCAGTCAGACAGAGTTAAAATATAACACAAGAAAAATACATATACAAATATCATACAATAAATGCTACATTCAGCAAAGGACAAGAGCAATCCTCTCACCTCTGCAGGAGTCTACAGTATACCATTCAGCTGTGGACAAGTCTACATTGGGTCCACCAAACGCAGCATTGTCCTAACACAAATCAAGAAACACGAAAGGCACTGCAGACTAACTCGACCAGAGAAGTCAGCCATAGCAGAGCACCTGATGAACCAACCTAGACACAGCATATTATTTGACAACACAGAAATGCTGGACCACTCTAACAACTAACATCTCAAAGTACACAGAGAAGTCACTGAAATCCACAATTTCAACAGAAAGGATGAAACCATGAAAATGAACAAAATCTGGCTACCAGTATTTAAAAAAACCCCTCTAAAATAGGGGCAGTAAATAAAGAGCAACAGTCTCCTAGGAGAGTAGGGCGGAATATAAATAAAGTATACTATTATTATTTGAAACACAACAAGATGAGTCCCCAGCAGATAAGATCACTCTGCTGGCTGTTGTATTGGATCACACATTGGACACTTCCCAAGTATCTAGGACTGTGTGATGTATCTGCAAATAATGCGTGCAGATCCCGAACTGCAAAGACTCTGGCACAAGCCAGTAAAGGTGGTCCCAGAGGTGATCGGCACACTGGGTGCAGTGCCTAAAGACCTTGGTCTGCACTTAAACAAAATCGGTGCTGACAAAATTACTGTATATACTTGAGTATAAGCCTAGCTTTTCAGCCCTTTTTTTAGGCTGAAAAAGTCCCCCTTGGCTTATATTCGAGTCAAGGTTATTTATTATTTTACCCTGTTAGAAATACATAATAAATGTTTTGTTATTATTATTGTTGTTGTTGTTATTACATTGATCATTCTACTTCATTATTGTTTTTATTATTACATTTATTATTTTACTCTATTATTCGTAGTAATATTATTACATTTATTATTTTACTCTATTTTTATTGGAAGGATATGCAAGCACATTTACACTGAAGAAGGTTAGAATAATGGTTCAATCAGAGTTCCACAGTCTTATCTTAAATTATAGTTTTATGTAAATATTCAAAACATTTAACCTACTGATGCCTCAATTAATGTAATAATAATAATAATAATAATAATAATAATAATAATACTTTATTTACACCCTGCTACCATCCCCCCAAGGGACTCGGTGCGGCTTACATGAGGCCGAGCCCACAATACAACAATACAAGCAATACAAGCAATAACAGATACAATACAAAGCAATTAAAATAAATCTCATACACAAATAGCATAAACATTAAACAAGGTACAGTGCACCTTGTACAAGCTCATCCCTTGTTTGGGTATCAGCCAGCACGCCAACGACTTAAATCCAGACAGTTTTCTAAGATCTACAGAGACACTCGCTAGAACACCTCAGTAAGCGAGAGTCCAAAAGTGGCAGGCTCAAACCCAGAACCTCAACCAATGGCTGATACCAAATGAGAAACTCCCCCCTGGGCACACAGAGGACTGGGCGACTTGGAAGGCGCTGAACAGACTGCGTTCTGGCACCACAAGATGCAGAGCCAACCTTCAGAAATGGGGCTACAAAGTGGAATCCTCGACATGCGAGTGTGGAGAGGAGCAAACCACGGACCACCTGCTGCAATGCAACCTGAGCCCTGCCACATGCACCATGGAGGACCTTCTTGCAGCAACACCAGAAGCACTCCAAGTGACCAGATACTGGTCAAAGGACATCTAATCAACTACTAAACTCACACATTTTGTATTTTCTCTGTTTGTTTGCTTTGCTCTGTTAGAAATGTAATATAATTGACTGGCTGCCCTGACACGAGAAATAAAATAGTGCACATTTAAAATCTATGGCTGTAATTGTATTTGTATCTATTTTTATTTTGAAATTTACCAGTATTTATTATTATTTATTTATTACTGCGCTTGTATACCGCTATTTCTCAGCCTGAATCGGCGACTCAATGCGGTTTACAACATTACAAAAATCACAATATTCAGTTTAAAAGCATAAAAACACATATACAATACAAATTATTGGGCCACCAATAACAATCCAGTTGCATCTCGTAACTGAAATCGCAATCCAATCTCATCGTCCATGATTACCAGTCCTTTGATCATCAGAATTCATTGCACCGGGTTAACCGAATGCTTGTTCAAACACCCATGTCTTCAATCTTTTTCGAAACACCATCAGCGAGGGGGCTGATCTTACCTCTATAGGGAGGGCGTTCCAAAGCCGAGGGGCCACCACAGAAAAGGCCCTGTCTCTCCTGCATTTCCTACCCTCGGCTTATACTTGAAGCAATACTTTTTCCCAGGGTTTTTTTTGGGTAAAATTTGGTGCCTCGGCTTATATTCAGGTTGGCTTATACTCGGGTATGTACAGTACCATCTCCCAGCTGCAGATGTATACTGTTATTATTATTATTATTATTATTATTAAAACAGAGGAATTGCAGAAAAGAATCAATAAGGGCCATCGAACACTTCCCAACAAAGGATTCCCCCAGGTAAGCAGACTGATCTTGAAGCTGCAAGGCCATTTAATGCTAATAATAATAATAAAAAACTTTATTTATACCCCGCTACCATCTCCCCAAGGGACTCGGTGTGGCTTACATGAGGCCAAGCCCACAGTACACCAACAAACAAAAGCAATAACAAAAAAAGGAAAAAAATACAAAACAATTAATATAAATCACATAAGCAAAAATAAACAATAACAATAACAGTAACACACAAGCATTTAAAAAACCTATGGCCGGGCCAAATGTAATAATTTAAAATTAAAAAATAATGCTGAGCATGAACAAGGTAAAATATAACTGGGATAGGGTTTTTCAAAGAGAAATGAGGGAATGCAGTAGGTCCTAAATCAATGGTAAAGTGCATTTTGAGCGCATATTGCTGAGAATTTTCCTTATTCTGGGAAGGCACACTAGACTGGAACAACCACGTTTTTAGGCTCCTCCTAAAGACTGCCAGAGTTGGGGCATGTCTGATATCCTTGGGAAGTGAATTGTTGTTGTTGTTATTATTATTATTATTATTATTATTATTATTATTAATGCTACTCACTAAAGACTGCCAGAGTTGGGGCATGTCTGATATCCTTGGGAAGTRAATTGTTATTATTATTATTATGATTATTATTATTAATGCTACTCACTAAAGACTGCCAGAGTTGGGGCATGTCTGATATCCTTGGGAAGTGAATTGTTGTTGTTATTATTATTATTATTATTATTATTATTATTATTATTATTAATGCTACTCAAGGCGGCCAATTGCAACACTTGCCTCAGGCAGACAAGAGTTTTCTCCCATCCTGGGCATGCCACAGATATTTAAACCTCCCTTGCCTAGTTTCCAACAGACCTCACAACCTCTGAGGATGCCTGCTTATAGATGTGGGCGAAACGTCAGGAGAGAATGCTTCTGGAGCATGGCCATACAGCCTGGAAAACTCACAACCCTTCGGCAATACAGCCTTAGGAATGGTGGGAGACATAGTTTTCTAAGATCTACAGAGACACTCGCTGGAACACCCCAGCAAGTGAGAGTCCAAAAGTGGCAGGCTCAAACCCAGAATAGTTTTCTAAGATCTAGAGAGACACTCGCTGGAACACCCCAGCAAGCGAGAGTCCAAAAGTGGCAGGCTCAAACCCAGAACCTCAACCAATGGCTGATACCAAATGAGAGACTCCCCCCTGGGCACACAGAGGACTGGGCGACTTGGACTTTTGGAGTCCAAAAGCGGGCCCAGGCCTCGTGTGGAGAGCCCCGGCTGCCCGTGCTCACCAGCTGCTTGAGGTCCTCTTCGGAGAGGCCGGCGTAACGGTACCGCTGCTGCTCGAACTCGTAGCGCGTGGTCTTGGCAACCACGGCCACCCGGGCCGGGCGGAACCCGCCCTCCACGGCCCTCTGCGTGGAAGGGGGAGGCTCTCGCCCCGCCAGCGCGGCGGACACCTTGCCCAAGCGGAGGAAGCGCCGCTGAAGGAAGGGCGGAGACAGAGGAGGCGGCGGAGAATGTTGCTGTTGGTGGTGGTGGTGGTGATGATGGTGGTGCCGCCGCGAAGTCTTGAGCAAAGCGCGGACGGCGGCGCAAGGGTAGCCCGGGAGGCAGGTCATAGCCCGGCCGGCCTCTCTCGGTCCTCCAGGAGCCGCTGACAGGACCAGGTCTGCCTCCTCAACGGCCGCGCCGCGCGCTCATAAGGAAGGCTAGCAACGGGCACGGCGCGCGAGAGGCTCCGCCCCCTCCCGCGTGCCGCTCGGCACACACACACACACAAGTGCGCACGCGCGGAGCGGATGCAAGGAAAGGAAAAGAGGGCGCGCGGAGGGAAGGAAGGACCACGCATGCGCGCCCCCCAACTTTAGGCCAACAAAGGGAGATAGAGAAGGAGCGGATCGGAACTGGGAAGGGAGCGTTCTGCGCCTGCGCGGCGGCGCGTGACCAAGGCTCGCGCTCCCACAGAGGGGAAAAGGAGGGGCGGGTGAGAGAACCAGAGAGTGGGCGTTTCTGCGCATGCTCCACATTGATTGAGGACTAGCTTGGGGAATCCTAGAATCCATCTATATCTAGCTACATCCATATCTCTCTATATCCATATCTATCTATCTATCTATCTATCTATCTATCTATCCATATCTCTCTATATATCTATTGATATCTATCTCTCTGTCTCTATCCATATCTATCTATCTATCTCCATATCTCTCTCTATATATCTTTGTATCTATCTTATCTATCTAGAATCATAGAATCCAAGAGTTGGAAGAGACCTCCTGGGCCATCCAGTCCAACCCCATTCTGCCAAGAAGCAAGAAAATCACATTCAAAGCACCCCTGACAGATGGCCATCCAGCCTCTGTTTAATAATAACTTATTTATTATTTTAATCATTATTGTCATTATTGTTTTAAATAATAGGGTAAGACTAATAACTTGGGTAATAAAAATGTATTTATTATAATTATAATGCATGACTAGCTTGGATAATAATAATAACTTGGGTAAGAATAACTTATTTATAATAATAATTATTTATTTATTTTAACTTGGATGATAACAACTTTAGTAATCACTTTTTTATTGCTAGCTTGGATAATAATTTGGGTAATAACATATTTATAATTATTATAATAATAATTTATTTTAGCTTGGGTGATAATAACTTTAGTAATCACTTCTTTATTGCTAGCTTGGATAATAATAATTTGAGTAATATTAACTTATTCATTATTATTATTTATTTATTTTAATGGGTGATAATAACTTATCACATTTATTTGCTAGATTGGATAATAATAATAATTTGGGTAATAATAACATATTTATAATCATTATTATTATAATTTATTTATTCTAGATTGGGTGATAATAACTTTAGTAATCATTTTTTGCTAGCTTGGGTAATAATAATAACTTAGGTAATAACTTATTTATAATAATTATAATTATAATAATTTATTTATTTTAGCTTGGGTGATAATAACTTTAGTAATTACTTACTATTTATTGCTAGCTTGGGTAACAATAATAACTGGGGTAATAATCACATATTTATTATTATAAATTATTTATTACTAGCTTGGTTAATAATAACTTTGGTGTTTTGATTTTGTTTGTTTTTTTGTCGTGTCAGGAGCGACCTGAGAAACTGCAAGTCACTTCTGGTGTGAGAGAATTGGCAGTCTGCAAGGACGTTTCCCAGGGGATGCCTGGATGATTTTTTGATGTTTTATCATCCTTGTGGGAGGCTTCTCTCATGTCCCCGCATGAGGAGCTGGAGCTGATAGAGAGAGCTCATCTGCCTCTCCCCAGATTCGAACCTGTAACCTGTCAGTCTTCAGTCCTGCCGGCACAGGGGTTTAACCCACTGCGCCACCGGGGGCTCCATAACTTTGATAATAATAACTTATTATTGCTAGCTTGGGTAATAATAACTTGGGTATTTATTATAAGAATTATTTATTGCTAGCTTGGGTAATAATAACTTGGATCATAATAACTTATTTATTTTAATTATTACTTTAATTTATTACTAGCTTTGGGTAATAATTACTTGAGTAATTACTTATTGTAATTATTTATTACTAGCTTGGGTAATAATTACTTGTGTGATAATGACTTATTTAATATAGTTATAATAATTATTTCTTTATTGCTAGCTTGGGTAATAATAATATCTTGGACAATAATAAGCAATTTTATTATAATAATTATTTTAATAATTATTAATTGTTTGGGTAACAATAACTTGGGTAATGATAACTTATTTAATATAATTATTTTAATAATTCTTTCTTTATTGCTAGCTTGGTTAATAATGCCTTGGGTAATAACTTATTATACATATTATAATAATTTTTACTAGCTTGGACAATAATAACAACTTGGGTAATAATAACATATTTAGTATAATAATTATTTCTTTATTGGTGGGTTGAGTAATAATAATATCTTGGGTAATAAGATATTTTTATTATAATAATTATTTTAATAATGAATGTATTACTTGCTTGGGCAATAATAAGTTATTTAATACAATTATTATGATATTTATTGCTAGCTTGGATAATAATAACTTATCATAATTATAATAATTATATATTTATTGCTGGCTTGGGTAATGATAATACCCAAGCTACCAGTGGGTGCAGGGCGGGGAGAGGGGGAGCTGCGCATATATATATTTATAACAAGCTTACACCAGTGTCGCTTAGTTCTTGGACATGCTCATTAGAAACTTTTAGCTTGGAAGCTGAAAGGAAAGAGTTTAGGGAGGGGGAGGTTCCTACTACTTAAAGGAAGAGAAAACAGGAGATTAAAAAAAGGATGAGGGAAGAATGAAGAAAGGGATGAGGGGAAGGGAAGGGAAGAGAAAGAAAAGAAAGATGAAAAATTGTGTGAGGGAAAGCAAGAGAAGGAAAGAAAGGAGAGCAAGAGAAAAACAGAAAGTCAGAAAAAGTGGCAAATTAAAAATGCCACCTCTTTCAGTGCAAAGCCACTTGCAGACTCAGAGCTGTAAATAATTAAGCTGTTATAGTTGCAATTACAAGAAGTAGGATTGTGTTGACATTCTGGAAGTGTGATACATGTCATTCTATCTAATAAATTATATAAAAGTCAAGACTAAACAAAGCAATGCTGAGTTTAACAAAAAAAAAGAGGAAATATCGTTGCAATATTGAATAATTAATTTAACCTCAGTTTTTTCTCTCTATGTGCCATTGTCTTCTACAGAAATAATACTTTCCTTTTGAATATTACTATGTGTGAAAAGGAGCGAAAATGTCATTTTATTGAAGAGGGAAGTAAATTGATGCTGTCCTACAACTTCGAAAGTGAGTCCCATCAAACATTGCTGTAGAATTGTTGCAGTTTGGCACCACTTTAACTGTCATTGCCCAGTGCTGTTGAATCATAGGATTTGTCGTTTGATGAAGCATTAGCACTCTGGTAGAGGGCAGCCCTTGCAAAACTACAGCTCCCAGGATTGAATAGCATCGAGCCATGGCAGCTAAAGTGGTGTTAAACTGCATTAATTCCCCAGTATAGATGCACTCACAGTGAGATTTAATTCTCAATACACAACACTGGTGAAACTGTAGCCTCCAATACTTGAGGTGGGTCTTGGCCTTTCAAGGCTCCTCATATCAGAGGGAGATTGTTGCCTTGGAAATGTTGCCTTTTTGGTGCATTGCAGAGCCACTCCCTTCAAACTCCCAGGAATATGTCCCTAATTGCACTTTATTAGTGATCTAGGACTGTCTGTTCGCCCCATTCTTTTCCTAAAGTCTATCCTAGTTATATTTCACCTGGTCTTGCTCAGCATTATTTTTAAAATTTTAATTATTACATTTGGCCCAGCCATAGGTTTTTAAATGTTATTGTGTTATTGTTCATGTTTACTGCCTATTTTTTTGTTTATGAGTTTTACTTTATTGTTTTGTATTATTATTGTTGTTGTTGTTTTTTTTGCTGATGTATTGTCGGCTCGGCCTCATGTAAGCCGCACCGAGTCCCTTGGGGAGATGGTAGCGAGGTACAAATAAAGTATTATTATTATTATTATTATTATTAAAAATATATACATTTGGATAGAGTTACACTTTAAAAAATGTATCTGTTCCAACTTACAAACAAATTCAACTTAAGAACAAGTCTACAGATCCTATTTTGTTTGTAACTTGAGGATTGTTTGTATTGGTGCCTTGTTATCAGCTGGTTTATTATTTAAGTCACAATCTTCTGAAAGCCTGGTCCAAATGAGAATGAAAAGAAACACAAAAGAGATCCAGAAAAATAATGAGACAATGGGAGAGAGGGATTATAAGGAATTTGCTGCTAAAAGCATGAAGAGAGTAAAAAAAAAAAAAATTAAACGGATTAGAAGCAGAAAACCATCAAAGAACCACTGGGCGATGAGTGCATTTAAGGTTTACTAAAAATATGATACAGCAAGGAAGCTGAATGAATTCTTCACATCTGTCCTCAGTGCAGAAAATATGAGGGTTATCTGGAAAGTAAGGTTACAAGGCATGTCGCTCTCGAGGAGAATTTTCACGGGAAGTTGGTATCACTGCCGTGTAGTGGAAAACGAACAAGCAGTACCAATCGTCAGTATCTCATCCTGTAGATAAATCCACGAAACAATCCCCATTTTTAAATTTCATTTACCAAATGATATTTTTATTTTCCAGATGAGAATTTGGCCCTCAAACTCACTTGTCAGCAAAGTAGTCAAGGATAAAGCTAACTTAAATCAAAGTAAAACCTTAACTTTAGCATTTTGCAAAAATGTTATCAGCAGTGTGTCACCTGTCTATTGAGAAACAGCATAGTCAACAATTCATAGATAACTGATTAATGCCATCAATATGATGAAAGAATTTGGATTAGGATTATCCATTTCTTTAAAGTGTCTTTTCAACCAGCTCATTCAAAATTCTGTAGCTTATTTCCTTTTCAAACATTATTCCTAAAGAACTGGGACCATGTTCAGATTTCTGCAGAAATATACAGATTCGTGACTGGAACATTTAAAGTGCTTCTTCCATGTATCCTCGGAGTCTGGAGTAAATATTCAGAAATCTTTGCCCCATAGTCATGCAACAAATTCTGCAGAGAAATTCCTCTTGTGCCAAGGCTTCCAGACCACGAAATAACACAAATCTTCAATCTTGTTTCTTGGGCTGTAAGTAGTGAGTTGTCACGAGCAGACCACAGAGTGTCTTCGGATCCATTTATAATGGTCTGGAA